TAAATCCTAAACCTTAAATGCTAAACCCTGCTAGGCCTGAGTATCGAGTGAGCTCGCAACGCAGCCCAGCTGCAGCACCAGGGCCATACACAAGCGAAGTCCTGAAGGCCGCGCACATGAGGGCTTCCCAAGATTAGGGGTATGTAGGGTTATATAGGGTTAAGGGTTCAGGGTTAAGGGTTTAGGGTTTAGGGTTTAGGGTTTGTATAGGGCTATATGAGGTCAGATGGGCTTGTGCGGAAATGAGGGTGCGTGCCACGGGAAGTTGGGTTGGGGCTTATGTTTCGGGCGTGTTTCGAGGGTATGTTTCTATGTTTCGGGGGTGTCTTTCGGAGTATGTGTCGGAAGTCTTAGTAAGAAATTACTCTTGCTGCGGCTGCCTGTTTCGGATATGTTTCGGGGTACGTTTCGGGGGTATGTTTCGCCCAACCGAATTTCCGCTCTCCTCATGCACCTCGGCCCCCTTAAAATCTCGGGTTATATACGGTTACATGGGGTCATTTAGGGATACTGGAGCAGAAAATGGAAGCTACTATTTCGGGCTGTGGGCTTCCCAAAAATAGGGGTCCCTCTTGCAGAGGACCCCAGTACAAGGATTATATTCGAATATTTTGGGGTTCATATCAAGATCTCCTATCCATGGACACTACCCTGAAGATTTTACGAGCTACACAACCCGTCCTGGAGGAAGCATCGCGCAGATGGCAGGAGAGATCTCGAATTTGGGGTAAAGGTTGATTGGGGAGACTAAGGCACCTGGAGTTGAGAGCCAGAGGTGCGCTGGCGGACCAACACCATGTAGGGGATCAAAGAAGGGCATGTAGGGATTATACAAAGGGTTATAAAGGATTAGATAGGGGCATGTAGGGATATATAGGGGTATGTATCAGAAGTTGAGACTGCTTGCAATTCAAGGCAGGCCCACGCAGCATTTTTTATGCGCAACCTCAGGGTCGCTAAATGAATATTGATGAGAGTCAGGACAGCAGCACACTGTGGTGGGACATACGTTACGACTGAAACGGGTTGCTTCTCAGCAACATGATCAGCAGAACAAAGCAAGGAATACTAACAAGTGTATTTCTTGGAGACACGGCGGTTCGCTGCTGCCTCACTAAGCTCTAAACCCTAAACCCCAGCAGAACCTCCTTCCCACCCTTGCAGCTTCAAAGGTCTGCAGCTACTGCCTGAGTCTCATCAGAAGAAGTGCGAACGAGACGGAAAACTCGGACCCTTCAGCGGTGCTGGCACATGCTACTATGAGTCTGATTACTTTTGCTGCTATCATCGCTATTATTCTTGCCATTATGAGTATTACTAGTATTGCTTTTTTTACTATTATTACAATTGTTATTGTCATTACTGTTATTACTGTTAAGACTTGTATGACTATTACTTCAGGGCAAGGCAACAGACTCTGAGGAAGCTCTCAAATCAATGTTGATGCCTGACGCTTTGTCACACGACTTGCATTTGCTAGTCAAAGGTGCAAGCTGCGTCTTCCAAAGCTGACAGCGAATCAGAATCGAAAATCAGCTTAGGGGATCCCCTCTCTTCAAGCAGCATCCCTTCGGTAGACCCCCCACCCTGTCATAGTGGTGTAATAGGCATGTAAAGAGGACCCTAGTATGATCACCATTATC